TACTTTCCTTCATTTCTAAACTCCAGCCACCAACCAACATGTCTTAAGTGGCATCAATTAACAATTTGTTCAAATTAATAATTATTTAAAAGTAGTATTTCTTAAAATGCTGAAGATTTTCTCCCCAAAAGTTGTTATATTTTTTTTCTAAATGTGTAAAAGAATAATTAAAGAAATTTACTTAGTGGTTCTAAGGACTAAATGATGGTTTGCTTATGCTGAAATTAGAAAATAAGATATGCATTTGTGATTTCATTCAATATTATCTATGGAGAGGGGGGATGAGAAAAGATTTAAAATTAAAATTCAGTTTATATCACACTTGAGTGGTCACAATTTAAACCACAGGGCAGACAGAGACTTCAGGGTTTAAAATTATTATAACCATTAGCCCCAGGCTCATGATTTTCTTGGGGTGCCTGGGAGAAGCAAATGCAAACTGCTCCAGCAACCCACTTCCACCACCAGGGAGCTACTATAATGGAATCCACAGAGGAAAAATACTCAATGAAGAGAAGGTCTCAATAGAAAAATTATGACCAAATATGAATATATCCATGTTTAAACTGAAGCCCTAAAATACTATGAACCCACTGTCTTAGAATTTAAGAGGTATTTCTTTCTTGTAAAAATAAAATCTTAGAATGACTATGTTACTTAGAAATGACAAACCTAGTTTGTAGGCTACTCAGGATCTCTTAAGTATGTCTATTAATTACAAACAAACTATAAATGCTTTGAAAACAGTAGGAAAGAGATATGATCTCTACTTCTTAGCAATTCTTTCTTCTATGTGCCCAGATTTTTATGTGTCTAGTTCTCTTTTTATTTGTGGCCTGGGATTTTTACATAGAAATCTGAGAATAATAAATTACAAAAAAAAGTGTCAAGGTAAATTTCTAAAAGTTGCTATAAAAATTCAGCTAAAATGAAACTTTTTTTCTAGTTGTAGTTTTTGCAATTTTAACCTGCATTGTATAAAATATTAAAGTACATACCATTAAGAAACAATATCAGACCCATAATGAAGAAAAATATTTATTGTTTATTTATAGACATTTTCACTCTGATCAGCTTCCACTAAGGGAAAAGGGTTGGATGTTGATTGGGAAGAAAGAACCATGACAATTATATTTCCAGGGTCTAAAAAAAGGGGGAAAGCTTGGAAAGAGACTCAGGAAAGCTTACAAAAATGAGGGCTACAGTTATGGGAAAAGGCTAGAAAATTCTACCTCATCTATGGGAAATGATTGAATAGGGATTTAAGGAATCCCTTAGACTGGCTTTTTATGTTTTTCTTTCTCTTGGCATAATGAAATAACTGTTATCTAATAAAATTATACCAACCACACATACACATGAATTAATAAGCTCATGCACATCCAGTAACATGTACTTACATAGGAGGGGTGATTTGTTACAGACTGCAGTGGGTAAGCTGAAGGAAATCTCTCCATTTCTATTATTTATATAGAGGCCCGGTACACAAATTCGTGCATGGGTAGGGTCTGGATGCCCCCCAAACCCCCACCATGGGTCAGGCCAGTGGAGCAGGGGGGCGAGGAGGGGACACAGGAGGTTGGCAGGCTGGACCCGCCCCCAATTGGGGTGGGTGGGGGCCTGATCGGGGGCCAGGCCGGCAGGGGGAGGGGCCACAGGAGGTTTGGGGGGCCAATCGGGGCCCACATCAGGCCAGTTGGCCATCACAGTACGTGTCATAGCGACTGGTTGTTTCGCCATTCTGATCACTTGGCTTTTATATACTAGAGGCCTGGTGCACAAATTCGTGCAAGTGAGGGGTCCCTTGGCCTGGCTGGTGATCATCAGGGCCGATTGGGACCAATGGGGGATAGCTGGCCAGGGGGAGGGACTGCAGGAGGTTGGCTGACCATGGGAGGTTTGCTGTGGAAGCGCACTCCTGCGTTGAGCGTCTGCCCCCTGGTGGTCAGGGTGCGTCACAGTTATCATCTGGTTATAATAGTCGCTTAGGCTTTTATATATATAGATGGTGAGCCGCGGTTTGCAAAGCCGCAGTCTGCCAACCACTGATATAGACTAATATGGACTTAAAATGCCAAGCTATTAAGAATAAATTATATTAAGATTTTTGTTTAAGGATAATTTAAGCATTATATTTATATATATTCTACTGCCTCCTAAAACACCATGAAAATGATATGAATAAAACTGGTACAATCCAGTGGTACCACTGAAAGTGGTTTGCAAAGCCGCAGTCTGCCAACCACTGATATAGACTAATATGGACTTAAAATGCCAAGCTATTAAGAATAAATTATATTAAGATTTTTGTTTAAGGATAATTTAAGCATTATATTTATATATATTCTACTGCCTCCTAAAACACCATGAAAATGATATGAATAAAACTGGTACAATCCAGTGGTACCACTGAAAGTAGGCAATTAATGGACAAGAGATTTCAGCCAGTTTCTGGAAGACTGAATGAGAGCAGATGAAATGGCATAGACTTATGAAGGATGGTGAAGAAAGCTACAGTCTCATAGATAAGGAGAGCACTTAACACAAAGAGGCAGAACTTGCCCTGCAGAAATCTAGAGGCTCCAGACTTTGGAGAATACAGATAACAACAGGAGACAGAAGTAAGGAATGGGCCAGAAATCAGGAGCTTAATTGGATGTCTGTTTATAGAACAGTCAACCTCTCCCCATCCCATTGAAGGGTAAGTACCTGTAAGCTTATTTGTAAGGGTCCCAAACATATTTCTCAAGCTGGTCCACAAATGTAGAGAATGCTAGCTGGTGATGATGGAGTGTTCTCTTGTAGCAGCTGGCTCCTGACTTATTCAACACAAAGCAGTCTGCCAAATAACTAATCTCACTTTTTACACAGATTTTCAATTAGCCTTCATAGTCCTTTATTCTTAAAAAATATGAACCAATAGACAAGGACCACAACACATTTGAAGAACATTTGATAAGAAAAAGATCTAGATAAACAATGGGAAAGACTAAATCTAGGTTAAGTGGAGATAACTGAGGAGAGAGCTGAGAACTTAAATTCTAATAAATATCATTAACAGATTTGAGACAATAATGTACCCATAAAACACAAATCTGCTATGAAAAAGGAGCTAGAGAACTAGGTATCAGAAATTTAAAAACATCACTGCTGAAATGAAAATTTCATATATAGATTGGAAAATTAATTGTAGAATGGAAAGACAAGGTGGAATATATGAGGATATAACAATGCAAAATAAATAAAAAGTTGGTCCAGAATGTTAAATAGCTGAATAAGTGAAGTTCTATAAAGAGACAACAGAGAGCTGAAACCAGTTTGGCTCAGTGGATAGAGCGTCGGCCTGCGGTCTGAAAGGTCCCAGGTTCGATTCCCGTCAAGGGCATGTACCTGGGTTGCGGACACATCCCCAGTAGGAGATGTGCAGGAGGCAGCTGATCAATGTTTCTCTCTCATCAATGTTTCTAACTCTCTCTCCCTTCCTCTCTGTAAAAAATCAATAAAATATATTAAAAAAAGAGAGAGACAACAGAGAAACTGGGAATCAGAATGGCTGAAGGGAGTTACCAGTTTTTAAACTGAGGGGGTCCACTGAAAGTGGGACAAGGGATTAAAAAAAAAAAAGACTTCACCCAGACACATTGTGTCTATGTACAGAAGCAATGTATATAATGTGCATACAGAACATATATAAAGGTATGCATACAAAAGACTATACTGGTTTCATTTGTGGTATTTGCATTGAACCACTATTTCAAGAGTTTACAGATCATTACACTGTATTTATAAATCATCACCACACAAAAAAATGGCAGCACAGTAGGAGGATACTGCACAGACATGCTCCCAGGAACAAGCTGGAATTACAACTGAAATACTGAAAGGCTTCCCGAATAATCAAAGGAAAACTCACAGGAGAGAACCCTGATACCCAAGGCCCAAAAGGGCTGGCCAGGCACCCACACATGGCAAATGAAGTCCCGGAGAGATATCTCAGCTGTACGGGTGCCACTGAGAACTCTGGGATCTAATCCTGAAGCTGGGCTCCCCATTAGATAGCACCAAGCTGAAGAGGGTACCCACATAATATCTAGCTGTGAAAAGCAGTGGGGTGCTGTCTGCCAGGGAGTGGCAGCTGAAAGTTCAGGCATCCTCTTAAAGGGCCAATGCACAAAAATTCCCTGTGGAGCCACCTACCCTGCTGTGCTCTGGCAGAGGGAGGGTGAAATGGACTGGAGCTGTGAGAGCAGAACCCAGGACTGGGGACTCAGGGGATAGAGCTAAGAAGGCAGACGCCCCAAGTTTCCTGGGCTGAGTCATTCCCTCCCGCAGAGGAAGACATTTTTCCCACAGAGACATCTGCCTTGCCTGGGGGGAAGACAGTTGACACACCCTATGGGAAAACACCTTGCCTTGAGGCCACTTAAGAGAATAAAAGTAACAATTAGGCTCCAGGCAGAAGCAACTGCCCCACCCTGTTGAAAAAAAAAACTCTCGCCACAGCTGGGGGCAATTCAACTCGGAATCCTATTAGTCTGCAGTGTAG